TTATTATTATTATTATTATCATTTCGGCATTACATGTAATTAACTTGGTCTAGCCTTGTAATCAAGAACCTGCCGATTACTATGCCTAATATTAATAACTAGCTCATTTTTACATTCATTTGGTGCTCTGCCATTTTGGCATCTTATGGCATCCAGTAGCCCTATTTTAGAGCTGCCTATTCTCAGCTCTTCTCTTAATTTGAAAATAACTGTCAGTCTGTTTCTTTTGATCAGTGATGAAGAAAAACGCGCTTTTCCTTACACTTTGTGCTTTTCCCAGAAAGCGTTTTTAGTAGGCCTACTTGTAGGCCTAGGTAATTATGCAAAACCCAGGTTTAACTAAAAAATTAAAATTGTCATAATATGTAACTCAAGATTCAGCCGAGACGGCGCGAGTGGAGTTTCATGTAAATGTTTCGTACGGGAAAAAAAATCGCGTTCCGCGAACCGTGCTTCGCACTCGCCGCTGAGGGCGGCGCACAGTGGGCCAGAATTGTTTCAAAGTGTGCCAAAAGTCAATACTCATAAGAAAATACTGATTATGTTCATGTTAAGAAGGGGTTTTCAAACCTGCTGAATTCAATTAAACTATTTTAAAATATGTATGACGTCATCAAATTACTGTTTTTTGATTGGATGAGTAAAATATTCATTGTAATACCTAGGCAGATTCATATTACCTTGGTTATTAGAACATATAAGGGGTTTTATAACCTGTAGATTTACGCAAGCATATTTAAATATGTATGACGTCATTAAAGTTGTTTTTTTTTATTGGACGACGTAAAACTTAAGATCTAGACAGAATAACTTGCCAGAGCTCAGTATGACACGAATGAGGGTTTCTAGACCGGCAAATTCAAATTAGAACATTTTACACTTTATGTGACATTATTAAAATACATTTCTTCAAAGAAAAGGGTGGAAGGTGGAGTGTTAAGAAGACACCTGCAGTATCCCCTTAGTCCACGTCCACCCCTCACCAGTGAAAATAAGCACAACAGATCACGGTCAAACAGACTGAATTTACCTAATATCGCTATAATTTGAGTGAGCAATAATTGTTGTATTTGAATGAATGCTAAATAAATAAATGAAAAAAAGAAATTAAATGAGCGGTACCACTTCATCGGGCATTTACCCCGATCCCATCACTCAACTTGGGATGCCCTTATCATCTCCACAGGCAATTTGGCTTCAGATTTAGGATGGAGTCAAAATGTTTAAAAAATAAATAAATAAAAAAAATAAAAGCAAAAGAGAAAGTGTCGGGAAAAAAATGATTCCTTGAATAATTGACCTCAAAATGAAAGGGAGTCGAGGTCCTCCCCGGAAAAATGTTGTTTCCTAAATGGCGAGAAATGAGATTTCCCGACTTTTGAGGTGTATTTTAATGACACTTACGTTTTTTAAAGTTCAAGATTTTCCCTCCCTTGAAAACAGTCATGTCAACTTTGTCATTCTTATTACAGTAAACAGGCCTATGTGTGTAAAAAAAAAAATGAGTAGTTGCATACGTAGGCCTATTTTGTTTTCCATGAACCGATGAACCCCAAATAGGACGGTGGTGGGAAAATGTTGATTCCTTTATTTCGGAAACGAGTTTTCTCAACTTCTGAAATTTTGGTTTCCCTCTCTTGACGTTTTTTAATGAATCGATGAACCCTAAAGAGGAACCGGGGAGAGGCGAAATCATGTTAGCCCCTGAAAAATTTTGATTTCTAGATTGCGGGAAGTGAGCTTTTCAGACTTAATGACCTTTAATAAAAACGAAATGAAGGTTTACCCTATTGAAAACGGTCAGGTAAATTTTCTGATTCTTAATACAGTAAATAGGCCTATTGTGTGTGTAGAGGTATAAATAGGCCTAGTTTAAGGAGGGGCCTAGGTAAGACCTCAGCCTGTAGTTAGGCCTATAGTTTATCCTCTTTCTCTCTAGCCTTTGGTATAACTGTACCTATCTACACTTTATAACAGGAGGTACGGAAAATAAAATCGCTCCCGGAACGCCGCCCTCATCGGCGAGTGCTAAACAGAACTCAGGGTCAAAAGTGGAACGGGAAATTTGGATATGGTTTTGTAGCCAGATTTGCGAGAAAAACTTCAGCTACCCGTATTTCTCGACTGAGACGTCAGTGGGAGCTGTAATTTGTATGGCAAGAGATTGAGCAACCCTTCATTCATATTAAGGGAATTTACGCCCAGAAACTTTGTAGTTAATAATATTTTGGTTATAATAGAAAATGTTCATTTTTTGGTGACGTCGCACTCACATTAGTTAGCATGCATACGTCATAAGCTAGATACGTCACCTTTTCCTGGTAGCGATTTTTTTTTTCCGTAAGAAACATTTGCATGAAACTTCAATCGGGCCATCTCGGATTGACTCGAGTGAGTACGATACGAGGAACAAGAGCAGACACTTCGCAATGTCGTGACGCTCGAGTTTTACTATTTTCTTATTTTAATTTATTTCTTCCGAAAGTGTACTTTCACATATAATTCCACTGTCTTAGTTAGGCCTAGGCCTAGTCTTATTCCTCATCCGATCGTCCCCCGCTACACAGTACATCAGCAGCCCCTCCCCCATACAGTACAGACGTTTGCTAGGTAACAAGGTGATTGCACCTTCCTTCCTAGGTGTTCATGTAACATTGACATAATTGTTAGCTAACCAGTTGTGTGTATTTCGTTGTGAAAATGAGTACCGCTGCGTACTCATTTTCACAAAGCATTTGCATCCCTCTTGGAAAGAGGGATTCGAAATAATTGTCTCCATATCTTCGCTAATTAAATTAATCACCGTAATTTAGCTTAAACTTATGAATTTAGGGAGCACTTAAAATGTGAAATAATCATTTCACTACCGGACAAACTCCGAACTTTATTCATTCATTAGGCCTACATAATAGTTTCATATTGCTGTACTATATACTCCAACATCACTGTTTTAGTACATTTTGATGGATTAGGTTTTAAAATGCCTATTCCAGAAAGCCTATTCTAAACGATTAAGATTAGATAGATACATTTAAATCATGAATATTTCGCCAAGATTAAAACATAAAAATACGATGTAACATTTTTCAGTCACAATTATAGGACAACCACATGTGCACAGAGAACTTCACAGTGTAAATAATACAGTATAATAAAATATAAGCCCTAATGTAATAAGCACTTTGTTTGTATTTATAAAATTATATTATAACACAAAAATAATTTTAATCCTTAAAAAAAACTAGATAGATACAATTTAGTTATTCTAATTAGTTTGTCGTTGGACCTTTTTTTTTATTACCTCCACTAACTCTGAATAACACGCAATCACCAAATATCCGTGGAGCTTCCATAAAGGGTTTCACATTAGTTCCCAGCATTTCTTTTGGTCCATGTGACACTTGAAACACTTGAGATTGAAGGTCATCCAAATCATAAATCACAATTGATAAATGTCCTGGGTACGGGTCTTTTTGCTGTTCAAACTGTTGATAAATAATTTGAAATTAATTAAGTTCACAGGCCTAGCAAACTAGGCCTACTAGATTTTAAAAATTGGCATTTTAAAGCCAAATAGGCCTACTTCAGAAAAATTAAGTCCGGGTGTTTTAAGTGTTTAAGCTGAACTGATGTTCATACACTGACCAAGCTGCTGGACAAAAACTACTTAAAAGTGAAATATAAATGAAAAATTTTAGTAAAGAAGTGGAAAAGGCCACTAGGAAATACAAAAAAAAAAACAAAAAACAAATGGAGAACAGGTATAACATTGAAAACAAATACACAGCTACGCAAATATATCCACCTATTGAGTTTTTAATATCATTACTCCACACTTGTGCCTTTACCCATCAGAGCTTCACCACCATTCATACCTCCTGGTTTTGTCAAATCTTCCAATAAACTTACCAAACATTTTTTGTCCCAAACATGGATTGACTTCAGTAGCAAATTCTTTGGTAACTCTTTAGACATACTTAAACGAAAGTTGTATTCTTTTCCCTTGCTTTCAAGAATATAAACTTTTATACAATCTTTACTTGCGATTACTAACAGGTTGTGCCAGACTCTGAAATGCGATATCATCAACGGTTACTTCCAATCCTCATTTGCCACAGAAAATTATTGTTGGTGTTTTTTATGTCGCTAAATCAAAATGTTAATTTACCTGTGCATGACAGCCGATAATTCAGTTAATGTTGTTGTTACTGGTATTGTTAATTATAAGAATCTGCGCGTACTTATATGGGGAGCAACACTGCCTCGATGGGAAATTGGTATAGGAATTCTGCTTGAAATTCTTTTGGGTCATCGTCATCACCATCGTCACTGTCATCGTCATCCCCATCATTATCATCATCGTCGTCATCATCATCATCATCATCATCATCATCATCACCATCACCATCATCATCATTATCATCATCATCATCATTATTATTATTATTACTATTATTATTATTATTATTAATTAGAAAACACCTTGTTCAATTCTGTCTATTCTTAATGTTTCGCAACGTGCTGATAATAAAATTGCTGTTTCAACAATTTCATAAAAAAAATCCTATATATTGAAAGATGGATATGGAAAAAATAATAAAAAATGTTGAATGGTAGCCCTAAAATAAAATTAGGAATGGTACAGTTACTGTAAAAATAACTAAATAAGACAGGAAAACGAAAATAAAAGGATAATATAGTCACCTCATAACATTTTCATATCCCACATATAATACCTTTGTCACACGAAACTCCCCATCAGAAAAAACCCACCACCGGATAGGATCCCCAAAATAGTTCGGTGTTATGAGGGAATGCTGCGTCAAATCTTGATGCTTGGAAAACTTGCAGAGTGGATCTAAAGAAGAACAAAGTAATTTGATATTACAAACTCTCGTCCTGTTGCGCCATGTTTATACTGAAAAAAATAATTGCATTTATGTATATTAAAGCTTTTTCCCATTATAATGAAAAATCCTTAAAAATATTTATTATACGGGTGGTCAGATTGGAAGTGCTAAAAAACTGTTTTTTGTAGGCATCATTTGCTACAAGCTGGCAACAAGGTGAATCCTCATCACCAGCTCTTGGCTCACACGGAATGGGTTGCTGCCAGGCTGAATTTTGGATTTAAGTGCCAAATTTGACAAAAAAAATTGCAGATTTTACACGTTTTTACCCGAGAATGGTATTCATTTATGTCTGCACAGCCGTTTTGAGACATTTTGAACACAAACACACACACACACGAAAACACACACACAAACTTACACCACTGATATGGATTCACCTTGTTGCCAGCTTGTAAGAAATAATGCCCGCGGAAAAAAAAGCGCTTCAGCTATACTCGCATTGCCATGGAGATTATCTGTTGATTAACACGACACACCAGTAGACGTTTTCTTGGTTAAGTATGAAGTGAAATTTACGCATTCCAATGTCTGTCTCTTATACACATCTCAAGCACATCAATCCGGCGAGTTTGCACGCCGGCTGGAGTACAGCTTCCAGTCGCCAGCCAGAATTTGATACACCCCTACTCTGGCCCGCGGTCGGTGCGCTCGAGTCGGCTCTGTCTAGCTAAATGAGGTCTCGTATAATATAAACATTCTAAAATATGCATCTTACTTCCGAGCAACTTTTATTATTGTTAAAATAAACAATAAAAAAAATGATTTGAGTTATGATATGATTATATTTCTTAAGTTTAAACATTAACCAAAAATTCGGAAACCTATTTCCAGTATAAGGGTCTTTCTGATGGCGAATTAGGCAGTACTCTTTCATCGGGACACAATCTCCTTCTCTTATCCAGAAAGTATACTGCGTTCAGGATGTTAGGAGGAAGAGGAGAAGAAGGACATGTCTTTCTCTACGGAGCACCGTATACCTTCTAATAGAAACCATGTAGAAACCCACTACTCTATTAGTGAGTGTGCCGCCGGAGTTACGCTATCACACAATGATTTGCTTTGGACACGCTTCTCTAAATTGTTAATGGCGCAACTCATAGCTCTGGTGAATAATTCAATTCAATTCAATTCAATTCAACATTTATTTACTTCCTTTTCTAACTGAGATAAATAATACAATGGTGTTTAAATAAATTGAAAATGCACAAAATTGATAATGAAAATTTAAAAGACAAGAGAAAGGAAGATGGCAAGACCTGAGAAGATAAGAAAACCAATCTTGTGATGGGACAGCCAGAAAAAAAGAAAAAAAAAGAGAGAAAAGCAAAAGAGACAGCACAGGACAGAGACAAAAAAACAAGACAAAACATTCAAAACAAATCGAAAACAGACCGACAGACCGAGAAAGTGGAAATTGGGAGATATAATTAGTAATAAAAAATACAAAATTATTAATCAGCAATTAAGTGTTTTTTGAATTGGTTAGCAAAAATGTTAATGGAAGAGTCATTGACTAAATGAGAGAGCAACAAATTCCAAAATTTATGATGTCTTAAGGAAAGAAGAGGGCATTTTTGTAAACAAATTTCCAATTAAAAATAACTGTATTGCCTTACACTGCAAGTATGGAAAAATCGGCCTTGATGCATAGGGATATCTTATGCCTTTTAGTTGTTGGGAATATACGGCTCGGTGACCGGTATCGATATTCCATACAGATAACACGAGCTCACTTGTAAGTATATACACATACGTTCCTGAAAAACAAAAACATTTACAATATTAACATGATTCGTATGCCTGTTATGCTTTTAGATAATGTAAATAATTCTAGGGCCTGTTATTAACAAATGGGTGAGAAAAAAATGTTAGTTTGTTTTGTTTGTCTCCTCTGACCGACCCATAATAAATCTAGTGTCGACTTATTTTTGCAATAACATATTTTCCCACAAAAAAGCATAGCATATTTTGTATAATGTATAAAAAGGACACTTTTCAAACTATGACTAATGCACAACTTTATGAATGGACTGGCCTAGGCTTACAGTAAAATAAAGCTGATTGACCAATTTTCAATTATCGCGTTGATTGAGCAACAGTATTTTTGCTTTAGAAAAAATTGTTATGATTTGATCTATAGTCCATAGGAGTGAGGCTAAATCATACTGAAAGTAGTGGTGCTTAGGCCAACTGGGCAAAATCCCCACCCACTTCCGCGCTACAGCTGACACCACCCACCGCCAGCTGGAATTTACTCACCGATTTGCACAATTCTGTATAGATAACGAAACTTAAAACCAGAAATACGGTAGGATATTTGTTTAAAAGTACTCAAGGTTTGGCCTGTCCTCCAGCTCCTATAGACGTTCTTCCACAAATCTTCAAAATCTGCGTCATCTCCACCAGAATACTTCTGCTGATAATCATCCGACAAGGGGTTAAAGCCTATGCAGTCGATCAGGGAGGCCCTGTGGATGTCGCGTAAACATATATGTCGCCATAAATGATTATACTGCTCAAGGTGTTCAATTGTTTCTTTCCAACTACAAGATACCTGAAAAATGCAAAATGTCCTTTTTTCTAATGAAAGAAATTTCCGTATCCATTTGCAGTAGGGACAAAAATATATTAACGTATGAAACTCATGTAGAGGAGTAATTTACACATGGTAAGACTCACGAAACTGAATGAGAAGGATGGGAACAATCATATCACATCACTTGTTATATGAAGTTCATATCTACAGCAGGGCTTACATATTTTTAATTGTGTATGTAGTATAGTATTATATTGAATATTTTCCATTTTCAGTAATACAAATTAACAAAATTAAAAACAACTTTATGACATCATCATTTCTAGTAGGTCTATTTATGACATCATCACTTAGGCCTACTGTATTTTATGAAATGACATAACAGTATGTATGCCATCACTAACCTGTTTTGCTCTCAAAACACTTCTAGCATCCAGGTGCCAAATGATACTTTCTAAAATTTCTGGTAAATATTGAAAATCAATCAGAAATGTATCACCAATTTTCTTCATTGCACGATATAGGCCTATTTCTAATAATATGAAAAACGAATATATTATTAATGAGTTGTTATTGTGATTACAGGTATAACAACGCCCTGATTATACTGCGGCATAGGCACATAGGCCTAAAAAATAGTATTACTGTGAACTTGTTCTGTTGTGTGCATGACGCCATAGTGAGAGGTAAAAAGTGCTAGTATTTAGTATGTAATTACAAATAAATACATTTTGTTAAATGAGGACATACCTGTATCGTTGCTTTATTATTTCCAATGCATCACTGTAATGGAGTACTGTATTCCATATCTGAAAAGTCATTTTAAGTTACTATTAACAAAATTATTGTATAATTTATTCTACACAGTTGATGACAATTAATTATAATTCTGGGTGTGTCACTGAAGGAAGTGTAATATTAATGTTGATATACTATTGATTTATTTATGTAATACTTAAGGAAGTGTAATGTTAATGTTACTATACAATTGTTTATTTGGTAAATCATACAGCTTGCTTGTGATTGGCTATGCTATGTCAATGTAAGAAATTATTGATATTCGATGATTGGTTCATGAGATCATGTGAATATAGGACTCAGACTGTTCGTGATTGGTTCACATACCAAAGATTGTTTTGTATAATATGTGAGGGAAATTTGAATTTAGTTAGGTTTGGTGAAGCTCTAGAAGACTGAAGTTTGTCTTACTTCCGGCCTTCGCCGTAATAGACCTTTCCGGACTGTCAATCAAACTTAACAACTGACTAATCAGAACAGCGCTAGGAATACGCGCGCGTCTCACAAACACACATGTTGTTCCACAAACGCACGTGTTTGCGTATGTTTTAACACTGTCTCCTTGTGGGACCTTAGCAACAATATCCAAGGGGCGGGGCTTAGCGGAAAGGTCCATTGACTGTATGTGTATGTGGATTGCTGAGAACTGAAATAAACTCAGACTTTGAAGTTAAAGTATATTTGTGTTGGCTGAATTAAGTGAAGAGTGTGTGCTAACTGTGTTATATATCAAATTAGTAACAAAGTGATACATACACATGCATACATATATACATACACACACATACACACATACACATATATACATATACATATATGCATATACACATATACATATACACCCATACATACACACATACACACACACATATATTTCATTTTTTTCATTTCATTCTTTATTTCAGATATCTTATCCATATACAATATAACACAACATACAAAAAATAATAAATATACCCGAAACTTTTCACCAACAAGAATTTCTACTGACAGCGCTAATATATTAATTTACACCATCTCCGGTACATGCTGGGTTTAGGAAGCACATTATTAATTGCTTCAATTAAAACATTCGTGCTATCAGAAATTCTACGGATAAAACTGTGTATCGAATTTCTCCAATACACGAGTTCGCCTAAGTCGAATCTAATGGGACTGGCATAAAAAGTTCGCGTTATACAGATTTCGACTTGCACATTTTCGAAAAAAAAAAGTATTAACATAGAACAATACTATGTGTACTCAATGCCCACAAAATCGAATTTCACGCAAAACCGAACATTTTCTTAAGTCCCAAACTCATTCCTATTCTTCTTTTAATAAAATACTTTTCGAAAACATGAACTCCCTATTCCAAATCTCGGACGATTTGTCCAAATCTCGGACGATTTATCCAAACCTCGGACGATTTGTCCAATTCAGGACGGTACACTCACTCGAAAAACCAGACGATAGTTTAATAGACATCGCGACAAGCATAGCAGACGCTGTGAAAACGAGACGCTTCAGCTATACTCGCATTGCCATGGAGATTATCTGTTGATTAACACGACACACCAGTAGACGTTTTCTTGGTTAAGTATGAAGTGAAATTTACGCATTCCAATGTTTTAATAAGTGTATATTCTTGCTTTTAATGCTTAAAAACCGTTTGGAATCAACCAGCAATAAAGAGGGAACTCAACAAAGCAAGTTTCTACTGGTTACCGTACTCTTTTCAGTAGACGTCTAATTCAAATTCGTTAGATTTATCGGTGTAAATTTCAAATGCACCTCATTCATTCTTTAAACTTAAGACGCTTTTCAAAACATGTTGCTAATTTAATTACGGAGGAATGTAGAGAATAAAATATAATTTGTTAGGTTTATTTAGAGTTGACTCTAAAATATACCATAAGGGTTTCTTATTTGTTTTTTGTTCTGTTTTATAAATTTGTTTAATTAAAACATTCTTGATAACACCGAGCTTGTTACTGTCACGCACTATAAAACTTTGGGCGATCTGACGTCATCACAGCCGAAGCACATGTATACGGTAGTCTGCAAAACACCCCACGAAAATGGACCAATTGGCGGGCAGGAAGAGTTTTGGGGGGGGGGGGGNNNNGGGGGGGGGGGGGGGCACGACCTGTTCTGTTTACAACTAGACTGCCGACCAGCAAGTGGCATTGCCCAACGAAGAATGTGTGCTTGGAAAAACATAATCAGACCTAAAGAAATGCACACAAAAACAATATAAAAGTTGCATAAGTTTGATTGGTAATAATTAAATTTGCTGAGCAGTACAGCAAAACAACAGGTACTGTACGTATTACTACTGTATTAAATAATGTGTTGAATTTGCGTATGCTAGGCAGTCAAAAGAATCCAGGGCTTTGATAAATTAATTAAATAGCTAGGCCCTGACTACAACAATCTTGTTCGAAATGGGTTCAGTACAAGTTTTACAAACTAAACTGGACGAAAAACTGAACATTGGAGCCGGTCCGGAGGGGTGTCTGTATTGTGAGAATAGACAGCAACTTACGACATACGATCATGTGAGCCAAGTTCCACAGCGCGCTGTCGGCGTGTTAGTTTGACATGGCTAACTTGTTGCCGTACAACAAGGATTGAACTTCGTATTTTCCCACGGCACCGTATTACGCTCGTTATGAACGATAATAATTATTATAACAACATTTGTCTATATAATTGAGCACTCTTGTTATCATTTATTTGTCTATATATACATATACATACATATGTTTATGTATGGTTATGCATGTATATATTTAAATATGTATTATATACATATCTATAGCATTTATAACCACAGTGATACGCAGCAGATCTGATTTAGTACAATCAATCTAAAACCGCTTTATTTACTTAATTAGCTATTCAGACACTTCTATATAATAAATATATATTTAAATGTACATACTGTACCAGTTTCGGTTTGTATATTGACATACATTTGCTCACATACTGTTGTGTCGAAATTCGTGTACCTCCTTCGTTTACAAAACGAAAAAGAAACCACTACTTCCTTGTTTTGAAAGCAAATTTAGTATAATAGAGGGCGGCAGACAGATATTTGGTTGGTTTTATTACCGTGGAGGAAAAAACCAAGGTTTTACTTGATTTCTTATTTCACCGTAAAGACGGCGGTAGACTGAGCTTTTTTTTTTTTTTTTTAGGGGTAACCGTTTTGGTAAGCGTTGGGAGGAGAACACTACTGCAGTTTCAATGAATAATTAAGTAACAATATAAATTGAATCTTCTTTTCACTTAGAGCTGTTATCTTATTGTCGACAGGTTCCAGTGAACACACACCGCTGTCCTACACGAACTTTTTTTTTCTGCTTGTGTAGGCCTTAAGTAACAAAGTGAAATGTAAAATGTAAAATCAATGTATAAATTAGGCCTATAATAATGAATGTAAAATCAACGTATCTAAAAAGTTGGGTGTCAAGGACGATTGTTATATTTTTAACCTACTTGGCAACATACCACATATGTGATCATGTAGTCCAAGAGTGTACTCCCCACTTTTCTGAATAACCAGTATCTTTGCAAGTTTTAGCCTTCGTCCGAAGAGAACAGCGCCAAATCGTTTTCGCTCCGCTTGTCAACTTTTTGGGTCTGGTAGCCAAGACTGTCTACCAAAAGTATCCTGTGGAAAAAATTAGTTTAATATAGTGTTATGAAATGTAGAGCGTGGCTTTCAAATATTTTCAGAAGTTCATATGTACTTTTTAATTCATAAACTTGTACTCAAGATGCTATAACTATTAGGCCTACTTATTGAATAAAGAATTAATTAGAAGTTAATATTATTGTATATAAATATTGTGACTAAATATCTATACATTTCGTCATAGGCGTAGATCCTGGGGGATGGGGGGATATATCCCCCAATATTTGACAAGGGGGATGGTCCATTGTATCATCCCCCCCCCAATATTTTGACTATGTAGGCCTATATGATAAAATGGAGCTTTACACACTTCAAAAGACTGTCACAGAAATAATTTGCACTGTCTTATGCGCTTACAAAGAATAAAATTAGCATAATGTATTAATGTTGATAACAAAATTATTTTATCTGGTACAAATCTAAGCTCTTCTTTCCTTAGACGTTAGATGTGCTTGCAAAGAGAGCCACATTTCACACTGAAGGGTGTGTACGACATCAGTAATGTTATGTCAATTCCAAGAATGGGTTATATCGGTTGATGAGGAATTTATTGATTAGGCCTATAATAGCAAATTGAATCAATTTATTTTGCAAAAACAAGGTTTCCTCAGAGGGGGGGGGGGCACAAATCCCCCGTCCGCACAAGGGCTCACATTGGCGCTAACACCAGGCGCGTAACAGGGGTCTCGGGTCAGAGTGGGTATTTATTTTTCTTCATTTTTTTAATTCTTTATTTCAACCATCTTTAAAGAGGGTAACCCTTCTAGTTTAGCCCAGTAGGTTAACTGATATTCAGGGGCCCTCTTTAATAAAATTAAAGAACAGTAAAAACAACATAATAATAATAATAATAATAATAATAATAATAATAATAATAATAATAATAATAATAATAATAATAATAATAATAATAATAATAAAAAATAATAATAATAATAATAATAATAATAATAAGAATAATAATAATAATAATAATAATAATAATAATAATAATAATAATAATAATAATATTGACACGCACAGATCGTCGATTTAGCAAGCTGCGTGTAGAACGCTGCAAGATTTGTCGCAAAATTTCTGGTTTTTATGTAAAACCATGCAGTGCAGGTGCATTGTGTAAAGGTGCAGTTTGTAACTGGCCATAGTATGCTGAGTAATAATTCAGTACAGCAGTAAACTCTACTAGTGATGATTCAAGCATAGTTCGGTCAAATTCATGTAAGAATTATGTATTCTTATATTTATTTTATTGTATTTTTATATTGTCACCTTTCTACAACAATTTGCCTTGTTTATTGACTGACCAGGCCGACGTACCGGGCTGGGTAATAAGAGAAAAGAAAGAGGGGAGAGGGAGGGAAAGAGAAAGAAGAAGAAAAGAAAAGAAAAGGAAAAGAGAAGAGAAAAATAAAGACAGAATAAAAAGGAAGATATCATAATGACCAGACTCACAACACCCTGCAACCCCTTCTCCACTTCAAAAACTGTCATAACTCCTTTGATCTATGCTGCCCGATGGCGTAAACACTGGGGGACAAGGGAAAATATCGATCTTTGAAAAATCTTCCCCACCCCTTTATAAATGCCCGTTTATCCCCTGAAAGTGCCTAAAAACCTTAAATTTCACGCGCATTTCTTGTTAACACGGCCCAATTTCCTCTAAAAATTGCATATTTTATGGAGTTTTGATCAATTCCAACGAAATTAGAATTAAAAACACCGGGGGACAAGGGGAAATAACCATCTTTCGAAGATCTTTCTCCACCCCTTGACAAATGCATCCTCTGAAAGTGCCTAAAATTCTCAAATTCTTAGCGCGCATTTCTTGTTACGGTAGGCCAATTTCCTCTATAACTTGCACATTTTAGGGAGTTTTCATCAATTCCGACGAAATTGGAATTAAAAACACAAAATTATTTTGCGTGCTTGGCGCGCATTTTTTAGAGCTTTTTCAGTTTTATCCTTTTAAGTTATTTAAACACATAATAGTCCCAAACTCAAGAAAGACAAATTAAAGATAGATCATTTTAACCTAAAGGAAGAGCCTCAATGTGTATAGATTAAAGAATATGTTTTAACCATGATGAAAATGCTTATATTTAGTTTCAAACACACGTGTGTGGCCTATATTATAAATAAGATAAGCCCTATGTCGTATTGTTTTCTCTATGGGGAGTTGGGTGGGGTGGGGTGGGTATGGTAATTATTACTAACCAGGAAATGAGGATTGTATGTTATTATTATTATTATTATTATTATTATTATTATTATTATTATTATTATTATTATTATTACCATTATTATTATTATTATTATGTTGTAATGATGTTGTTTGTACTGTTCTTTAATTTTATTAAAGAGGGCCCCAGAATATCAGTTAACCTACTTGGCTAAACTAGAAGGGATACCTTCTTTAAAGATGGTTGAAATAAAAAAATAAAATAAAAATAAAACAAATAAATACCCACTCTGACCCAAGACCCCTGTTACGCGCCTGGTGTTAGCGCCAATGTGTGCCC